GGGGCTGAATAATTTTGCACGCCCAATTTTTCAGTTTTTTTATTTGTTAAAAAAGTTTGAAATATCCAATAAATTTCGTTCTACTTCATGATTGTGTCCCACTTGTTGTTGATTCTTCACAAAAAATTACAGTTTTATATCTTTATGTTTGAAGCCTGAAATGTGGCAAAAGGTCGCAAAGTTCAAGGGGGCCGAATACTTTCGCAAGGCACTGTATATAGCCCCTGACAATATAGCTCCTAGGATCACTCTGAACAGCGTTTGATTGTTTGTTGTGTCTGGTGGCTTTTCTTCTTCTCTCTCTCCCTCAATCCACTCACCCCAACCGGTCAAGGCAGAAGGCCACCCACCAAGAGCTGGGGTCTGTCAGAGGTTTCTTCCGTTAAAGGCAGTTTTGCCTCCCCGCTGTCGCCAAGTGCTGCTCAAGGGGGATTTGTTGCTTTTCTCTCTGTTATAATAATGATAATAGTAAGGTCTAGACCTTGCTTTTCCCTTTGTTATAATAATGATAATAGTAAGGTCTAGACCTTGCTTTGTAAAGTGTCCTGAGATGACTTTTGTTGTGATTTGGTGCTATACAAATAAAACTGAACTGAAATGTCATTTCAGTAAGGCTGTTGTTTATTTTCATTTTGTTATTGAACTGTGGAGTGTTAATTGGTAAATAATTTTACATAAGACCACAGATTAAGTGTGAATGTAGGAGAACACTGGACACAGATTTAATTTTTTAAGAAAGGAATGCATAATAGTCCTCGAAAGGAATTGTGTTGAAAAAGTGTTTGAGATGTTTACAGTTATTGTGTCATTGTTATTGCTGAGTGGAGTGTTCAGTAGGCTACACCACAAATGGTGATACATACAGGTGGTTTTGACAATTTTCGGGGGGCGTGCCGGGGGGGGGCGGGGGGGCGGGGGCTCACCTCCTAACACTTTGAAAACCCCGGAACTAAAACCATCCAAAACCTCGAAACTCTCGAGAATCCTTTATAACAACTTTTTATTTTTCTAACACGCATTCCCTTTTCTTGTTTGCACTTTCTTTTTCTGAATCAGAATCTGCTTTATTGGCCAGGTGTGTCGGACACACGAGGAATTTAGCTCTGGTACATTGGTTTTCTTTTTTGTTCTCTCAACCTTATCTTGTTTCTTGTCTACTCTTTGCTGTATGGAAGAACATTGTACGTGCACACTGAGAACCGCTGTACCAGAGTTAAATTCCTCGTGTGTGAAAACACACCTGGCCTATAAAACTGATTGCTCATTGGCAGTGACCGTGGAAGGAACGCCGATTTTTCTCATGGAGCGATTCACCAGCTCACCATAAACGATCTTTGGCAACAGGGGACGAGGCGCTGTGACGGCTTTATCCGAGTTTTGCCGAGGTGTACCGGAGCCGTCCACTTATCCCAGTACAGATTTTTCCAGCCGATCTTGACCGCCGCCGGGTCAGCTACTTGTTTCCCTTTAAGATTATGTCGGACATAATCCCGCTTTATCTTATTATTTTGTGTAATGTCAGTAGATAAGACGTGGACTTAGTAATTACACTGAAAAGCAGCAAAGGCTGGAGAGACGTGTAGCATCTCCAGGGGGCATCGCGTATGCGAAAGTGGCGGAGGCGTTATCTGGTTCGGGTCAAACAGCTGTCTGGTATCCAGCATGGTCGTCATCGGCTGCGGTCTCCGTCACACAAATGTCTTTTTGTATAACAGACAAAGCAGCATGAGTTCGAGGCGCAAAGGCGAAACGGTGACTGCGTAAAAACCACGATCTCACCCTGCGATGTGTGGGGCTTTAAAAGGAGACAACTACCAGCGGGATCTCATTACACGGTTAACGACATTTTAAAGGGGTAAGTCAGCGTATATGTTGGGTTTTAAAGCCAGGCCGACGCTGTAATAGCAGCTCTCCGCCGAGGCAGGCGCAGCCTGGCTGGCCCAGCTGCTTCGGTTCCCCCATTATAAAATGTTATTGTACCCACACAGTGGTTGGTTTGGCGTGTTAGTACTTCCACAGCAGCCTGCCACCCCGCGGTGTGTTACCCCCACCCCACGTCTTTTGTGTTAGTACTTCCACAGCAGCCTGGCACCCCTTGTAAGAGGCCTTATGTAACCCCGGCGTCCCCTCGGTCACAGAAGGTAATTGTGATGAGGTAGATGGAGGGGTTGGGCTCCTGTGTCAACACTTCATGAGATAATCTGTTGGAATATGGAAGAGAATCTGTACTCCTTCACAAAAGACACACTCCACTCAGTGGATAATTATCTGTCTAAAGAAGATGTATAAACTGTATAGATTATAGCTAATATCCCGTTTTTATCACAATGTATTTGGTGTCTTTGTGTATTTTAATGCAATATTGCAGCTAGGAGAGATGTTTTTGGATATATAAAGAAATCTATACATATCTTTAGCTTCATGTTGCCCACAGTATGTTAGTAATAACATAACAGGTCCGTGGAGATTCTCAGTCATCCAGGTCATGGTAAGCTGAAAAAACTCAAATGGACTAGGTTTTTAGGTCAAAGACGTTTCACCTCTCATCCAAGAGGCTTCATCAGTTCAGCCAACAATGTCCAGTATTGGAGAGTGTCATTTGGGGACATTACTGGCCTCAAAGGACTTAAACACCACTAATGGGGATACATATCTCCAGGCAACGCCAGTCGGGCAGAACTGATGAGAGGTGAAATGCCTTCGACCTAAAACCTAGTCCAGTTTATTTATTTATTTTTTCTAATTTTTTTCAACATAACAGGTTTTACAGTAGGCTGTTTATTAAAAAAAAACAGGCAAATAAATAATTGTACAGGACTAAAGTATTTCCATTATACAGCACCAATGACAACATACTGGTGTCTCATAGTAAAATCTAGGATGGTTTTGCCAATACCCATAACAATGCTGATACTACAAAATGACGAACAAAAACAAAATGGGTCCTGACAACAGAGATTAATGGGTAAGAGGAGATATACTGTAACTGGAAAGCCACACTGAAAACAAGACATGAACGAGATATAAGCAATACTGAAGTGGGATTCCATTCAATCCAGACTGAAAGCAAGACGTGAGCGGCATGTTGTGTGGGTTTAAAATCATCAGAACAGCTGTCTGTCTTGTCAGCAGGGCAGCGGCTTGAGAAAGTGTCTTTAGCAGAAGGACCAACAAGACAAGGGTACTGGACAAAAATAGTTTTCATGCAAAATAATCAGGATGAAATTGTTTTAAAAACATCAATGGATTCATTGATTTTGATTCCCCCCAGCTCATTCCAGAGGGTGAAAGAAAAACAAAGCAGCCTGACCAGTCAGAGCAGATGCCAGTAGCAATAGAAAACTAGAGAAATGCATTTCCTGTCATAAATGTGTGTGGATGCTAATAAGCTGAAAGATCATCCTGAAAATGCCTGAAATCAATTGCTGAAACAGCTGAAAGATGAGAAGAAATGGCTGAAGTTCTTTGTTGAATAATCTGAAGGATGAGATACAATAATGTAGTAATGGCCTTGAAGAGCTGAACATTTTGATAGCTGAAGGTATGCTGAAGTAGAATTTCCCCATTCATTTGAATGGGGCAAGATTTGTTGAAAAATGCTAAATATATGAAAAAGTATAAATGTTACAAACAAGAAAAATACAAGCACACATGTCCTTAAAAAGCTGAACATTTTGATACCTCAATGGCTTTTGTAGCTGAAAGTGTGCTGAACTTATTAAGAAGTAAAAATATTCCCACTGGTCCCCAAAAGTAGGTAAAACAAGTAGGGTTGTGTGTGTGTGTGTGTGTGTGTGTGAGATTGAAAGAGCAGTCCTACACCCTGAGGACTACTAGGGTGTGGCTATTGAAATGAGGCATAAAATATAAACAGTAATTATGCAAAAACTGTAAAAGATATCAAAAAGCTGTGTACATTATGAATTCATAAGGGGCAGGTGAAACCAATGTGCATGATGAGATGAAGTTACCGGGAGTTAGGGTAAACTGGGGACAGGAAGTGGTGTCAGAATATAAGCAGGAACGGAAGCTGGCGGGGCAGGACCATGACAGAAACATGCTGGTCTCTCTCAGTTGCTCGCAAACCTCTACAGAGGGACAGTAGAGAGCATTCTCTGTCTCAGTGTGAAAGTATGGTTACGGGAGCTGCACTGCACAGTCTAGTCAAAATGTACCAAAAAAAAATCTGCCAATGGGGTAAGCAAAAACGACTTAAGAATTCTTGAAATTAGCATAGATATCTAGTCAATAGTAAATGCTACTGGATCTTAAAACTAGATACAAATTCTTAAAACCAGACTTTTTTTTTTAGCTTTTTATAAGAATTGAATAATAAATAAGTTAGTGAAAACAGCATTAAAACTAGAATATTTAACTTGAATCTAGTCACTAAAAATACTACTGGGTCTTAAAACTAGACAAACATGCCTAAAATTATACAGTTTTCTCTTTTTATAAGCACTGAATAATAATTATTTTAGGAAAAAATTGCATTAAAACTAGAATATTTAACTTGAATCTAGTCACTAAAAATACAATTGGGTCTTAAAACTAGACAAACATGCTTAAGATTGTACAGTTTTCTCTTTGATTAATAATTATTTCAGGAAAAAAATTGCATTAAACTAGAATATTTAAACTTAAACCCAGCTTACTTAGATTTTTTTAAAATCACACAAAAACCTAAAATGAGATGAAAATTCTCAAAATAAAATGAACCAAGAAATCAGCTTTGCTGAACATTTATTGTTCACAAATTTTCCTCTTAAACAGGATGAACAGTCCAAAATTAACTAAAACCTTTCCTTAAAAAGAAAAAAAAAACACTGGCACAGAACAACACTGACCTCAAATTGTAGTCCCATAAGTTACAAAATGGGGGAAAAACTAACAGCACAAATTAAGTGCAAATGGAAGAAAACAACAACAACACTGCAGCTGTCTCACAGCAGTTTTGAAACAGTACTTAGTCAACAAACATTCTCCATTCTTGAATGACCTTTTTGTACGAGGGGGTTGCATCCTGCTAGTGGATGGCATCTTTCAGAACTTGTGTTTGCAACACAGACAAGAGTGTTGCAAGACACTTTGGATATGTGAGATGGAATGCATAGTAATAGGCCAGGAGGTAGAGAGGCCCCTCAGAGAGCAAGTCTTTATCAAATGTTAGAACTGGGGTTGTACCTACAACCATCATGCAGTTCTCCTCACCAGCCAGCAAAACAGGACAGGAAAACGCACGCCTGTGGATGTAGGTATCTGGATCCTCTGAAGGCTAGAAAACAAAATATAAAGATACAGAATTTAGATTACACACATAGCAAAAATCAAAATAAGATCTGGGTCAGTATTCACTCTTATAGAATTTTATTCTTACAATGGAAGTAAATGCTGACCCAGATCTGTTGGGTTATCAACATTGTTTAAAATATCTTACTTTTGTGTTCGGCAGAACAAAGAAAGGTATACAGGTTCAAAACAACTTGTGGCAAGTAAATGACAGAATTAAAATTTTTCTGTCTAATTTCTATTTAAGTTATTTTTTATGCTGTATTATGTAGTGCAAGGAAGGATTTAACCCAGTATTTTATTGAGAGTGTAGGCACCCGTTCATAATTTATCACTGCTGAGTAAAACTTACCATCAGAACGTGGAAAAAAGCCTCACTGGGGCCCGTTTCTTCGGTGCTGTATGTACAGCCAGATGGGAAGAGCAGCGGCAGGGCAGTAAAAACAGCAACGGCATGTTCAACTAGTTGAGGGAGGAAAAACAAAAGATATCAATATCAGATAGTAGGTCTGTGGGTATAATCTATACCAGGGGTTCTCAACCCTGGTCCTCGAGGGCCACTGTCTGCAGAGTTTAGCTCCAATCCTAATCAACCACACCTGAACCAGCTAATTAAGCTCTTCTGGATTGCTAGAAAGCTACAGGCAGTTGAGTTTGTTCAAGGTTGGAGCTAAACTCTGCAGGAAAGTGGCCCTCAAGGACCAGGGTTGAGAACCCCTGATCTATACCACTGGTTTCAGATCCTGGAGACCAACTGCTCTGACATTTGTATGGCTCCCTTATTTAACACACCTAATTCAGATCACAAGTTCGTTAGACAAAAGCTCCATAAACTGAATTAAGGGTCTGTTTACACAACATTGTTTTCAACTGAGAAAATAAGACTTTCTTCATCACTGCATAAAACTGAACCTTGGAGTAGGTCTCCCATCTGCCCTTCACCTCAGAAATGTATTGGCAATTGTCTGGGTCGATTATTCTCCGCAGTTCAGAATATGGGATATTTGTCAGTACATTATACATCTGTCTGAAGTATGCCTCTGTATACCCACATGGTCCAGTTCTTTGCAGCAGGGGTACGCTTGCAAAATTTTTGTTGGCTTATTTTGCTCCTTCAAAACATTAGAGTCAATGAAATTTCTTCTGGACTGGAACTCCAGGTCTAATAGATGGGTTACAGCAGCTTTGTTTGGCTTCTTTGCTTTGTACATTTCTTGCAGTGTTCTGTCATGTCTTGCCTAGGTTTTCTGGCTGTCAAGGCTGTTGTCTGGAGCATCAGCTATAATTTAGCCATGCAATATAATTACTGAACAAGACACACACAATCAACAATTTGAGAATGTATTAAGGGAAAAGGTATGCTTACATATATTACCAAATATTGTTATGGACTAAATACACTAATTCATTCTGAAGTAAGGTGGCTAGATGCGCTACTTCCTGAGGACACGTTCTGCACAGGAATTCTAAATTCCCTAAAATAACCAGGTGTCAGTTGTTTGATCAGCGCTGATCGCAAACAACCAACACCTGGTTATTTTAGAGAATTTCGAAATCCTGTGGAAG